GGTACAGTGCCTGCTTCACGACATGAATGAACACCAAGAGAAAGTAAAACCCAACAGACCTAACCCTGAGAAAACACTCATTTTTTTATGTTTACACACCAGGCTGGGGTCATCTCTGGTGTGTGTACACAAAAGTGAAAGCTGAACTTTGCTCCAACAAGACTGACTTTGTTTGGTAGTCAAATAAAAAAAAACCTAAATGTTGGGAAATGACAAATTCTGCTGCCTTGTCATCAAAACCGGCTGTTGACCTTTTCTTCTTGTTGCTCAACATCTTTAATTCCCACCCTGAAAACATGACATCCGTCTGTCAGGCACAGGGCTGCTGCGATCTGAACCATCCTGTTCGGCGTGCTTAATCTGATCAGTACTTTCTAAAATCGATGTGACTATTATGTATTTATATTGTTAAAATGTACAAAAGTACACATTAATTTGCAACATTGAATTATAAATGTTTCCTGATCAGCTGAGAACTCACAATGGCAGGAATCCTCTGAACATTTATTCCTTTGAATGTTTAGATTCATATATAAAACTAAATATAGCATGACAACCTCACAAGTACAGGACAGTCTGGAAACTACATGCAGGAAGGGTTTAACTGACTCAAGTGCAGCAACATTATAACGAAAAAAAAGAGAGAAGTACTCAAAAATGCTTCTGCAATCCGGTACAACATAAAGGATAAAATGGACATTTTTAGGACGGATCAACTTTATTCCACAACAAATGCTACAAGCACCAGTTTGGTTAGTTGCGAATACCAGCCAGACTACACACAACAAATAAAAATCTCATAACTTCCCAATAAAATGTCAGCTGAGTGATGGAGAGACACAAACACAAAAACTTTGAAATTTTGACCAATTAATATCAGAAGAATATCAGCATGCAAACATGGTGCACAGCAATTTAGACCTATTAATCTAATATGCAGGGTTTTGGAAGTTTTTTGTATTATCCATCTATCCATCCATTTTCTTTACACCCTTGTCCCTTAGTGGGGTTGGGACGTGCTGGTGCCTCTCCAGCTAACGTTCCGGGCGAGAGGCGGGGTCACCCTGGACAGGTTGCCAGTCTGTTGCAGGGCAACACAGAGACACACAGGACAAACAACCATGCACACACACACTCACACCTAGGGGCAATTTGGAGAGGCCAATTAACCTGACAGTCATGTTTTTGGACTGTGGGAGGAAACCGGAGTACCCAGAGAAAACCCACCCATACACAGGGAGAACATGCAAACTCCATGCAGAAAGACCGGGGCTGGGTATCCAACCCAGAACCTTCTTGCTGCAAGGCAACAGTTCTACCAACTGCGCCACTGTGCAGCCTTTTTGTATTATATAAAATAAAAAAAATTACATGCAGGTTCTGGTACTCAAGAACAATACAATAAAAATTAGTAGAAATTAATAACATCACACCAAATTTGGGCAATTCTTATGACATAAAACCTTGTAAACCATCACAAACTATAGGACCAATAGCCTTACTGTCATTTGTTCATTCAGAAAAGGTAACTAGAGGCTGGTAGAGTAACTAGAACTTGTACTCAACAGTAAAAAGTGTGGTGCAGTAAAACGCCTCCTAAAAGTACCTTTTTTCCCCAAATACAACTAGTTGCTACGTACCTCTGGTTACGAACAGACAGAAACACGTCCTCTGCTTAATTGTGTCTCATTTACTGTAAAATATGAAATGACAATCTGAACTGAATCTGGAAACTACTTGGGTCTGCAAAGCTAAGTTGTGTGGCTGGACAAATGTTCCAGATTCACAGTGTTCAGCGTTTATCACTAGTGGTGGAAGGAGCAGTGGTGAACTGGTGACAGGGTCAATGGAAGAGCGAAGGCCGGGTATACCGCCCGATCCAATAGATTATCCACTGTTGATCAGTTATTTTAATATATTAATGCTGATTCTCTGAGTATGGACCCTAAGGTTCCCTAAAAATTGGTTTCTACGCAGCAGCTACTTTCTCATGCACACCAGAGAATGATGTGACAACACATAAATAACCTTTTGATACATATCATTCTGTATAATCATCTGATTCAGGATATTGCTTGGTTGGGTACCACTATCATCTGGTGTGCATGAGAAACTACATTTTTATTTGTTTACTTCTCTATACACTGTAAATTAGAAAGGTGAGAAAATACACAAAGCTTTTCCAGGGTATCCATGATGGTCACGATATTATGCCTGATCAGTGTCTATTCCCCATCCTTTTAGTCGATTAATTAATTAAATCATTGCTTTGTCCATTAGCTGCACCTTTAAATTTGATTTAAAAAAAAAACACCATTCCTCACTTATTCAAACATGTTCTACAAAGTTGTGGAAAGAGTCACAATCAGCTATTAAAGCATTTCTGTAAAAAAGAGAAAGCAAATACTTACCATTTCTGTTCGGAAAGCCATTTCTTTCTCCAGGTTCGACAGATGTGAAAAGTGTCTGTCATTCTCAAAGAGCTGAGACAGATGATACCTGGTCACAGGAAGAGGAGAAGTGTGTAAACAAGTAGCAAGTAAGCAAAACGTGTGTGTCTGTCTAACACAGCAGTGCTGATGCTGCAGCTTACCAGTGCAGATATCCAGCCAGCCCAGCTGTGGACAGAGAGATAGAAAACTTTGTGAAACGGGTGAAAATGGGTCAGTAAACAACAAATACACAAACACTAGTAAAACCGCACAGGTCACGATTCAAATGTGGTTGTAGAATCATCAGTTTACTGCTGGGTTATTATAAATGGATATCCAGGAGTGAAGTTAATGTGGAAAACCTGTTAACACGTGTCTAAGCGGTGAATAATGCAACTATAACGGAGCGGAAGTTATTTATACGAGAGTTTATCGACGTCGAGCTAGCGCTTGCGTAAGCTAACGGTTAGCCTTGTGATGGTGAACCGAGATAATTTCCCTGATTTCCCGCTGTAACGGCACCAGTTTACCAGCGTTAGCCCCCGTTAGCTTGGGTTTTATCGGCATGCTAGCGGGCTAAAGCTCCGAACTTACCGAGAAGGACCGTGACAGCCAGGCTCCAGACCGACGGCGAAGTTAGCCCGAGCTTGTGTCCGATTATCGACAGCCCGTCTGGATGAGAGAAAGCCTTGATATCCCTGCCTGGTCGCCTAATGGTACTTTTGCTATGGGGTGAAATATGATGAAGTGTCTGGGTCTGACCGGGACTCTTACCGGTCTGTTTCCTGGTTTTAGCCACCATGACTATGAGGAACGGAGCTTCGGGGAGCGAACGGAAAGAGCTGAGGGGTGTGAGAGCTAAACAGCTCCACTGTCGCTCCTATCTGCCCCTCCAATCTGGTTTACTACCTGAGTGATGCTGTGACTGACTCCTCGTACAAGTGTTATTACACCGCGCCCCCTGTTGGTGGTTTAGTCGCGCTACAGTAAGCTTTTAGGTGTAGCCATGGCAACGCAAAGGCTCAGGCTCCTGGATAAATGCTGCGCATCTTGTTACAGGTTACGTTTAGAAACCAAGCGCAGGAAACTACAAACAAAATAAAAAGAAAATAACACATCAGAGAGTATGTAAGTATGTAATCTACTTAAACTGATAAAATATAATGTAAAAAATAACAACACATCATACTTCAAAAACAACTGCTTATGTTTTCTCATGTTTTCTTATGTTTTGTCTTTAATGATATGATTTCAAATGTAACTGAGTAACCTTATTCAAAATAAGTAAGTAAAAGTAAAAGTTCAGGTTTTGTAAACAACTTAAAGGACAAATTAAATTGTAATTACATTAATAAATGTAATTACTTTCCACCCTCTATGCCAGAACCTATATAAATATATATATAAAAAAATTCCCCTCTCACCCTCTGTGGGTGGTC